ATGCAGGTATTATTTAAGTGACAATCTTTAAACAGGTGATTTTATAAAATAGATTTGAAAAAAAATGATTTATTGCTCTTGATCACATGAAATCATTCGAGACACATTATAAGTGGCGGGGCCCACGGGACAGTGCCACTTTAGACTTTCCTCTGTGACACCATCTACAAACTGAATACCAAGTGATATTTGAATGGCTTGGTCTTCAATTGCGTCAATTATTACATTATTGAAATGGATAATGTAACTTTTAGTACCAGTATCAGTAACATCATTTAATTTTGCTTGTTTATGTACCTGTGTTTATTTGAGTTTCGCTGGCTTTGTGAGTAAGCACTTGCTCACAGACCAGGAGCACAGGGTTCTATGGTTCAATCCTGGTGTTAGCCAAGAAAGTTCGCTAGGTTTTTCCAGCTTGGTTTTCACTTGTCAGTGGTGCAGGACAGGACAGTGAGCCTGGTAAGGAACAGCATCTAGTCATTTGTATGGGAAAAGAAATCAAGGTCCTGTGTAATCGTCGGCATTCACGTAAAAGAACCATTGACAGTTAGAATTCAATTACTTTCTTGTCATTATTAGCCCGGTTTGTGCAGAAAAGTAGGACAATAAATCGTGAAACCCGCATTTCATTCATTTATTTATATATGGTTTCTTTATTCGATGGTCATTCGTTCGTTCCTGGAGTTTTATGTCCACTTCCACCAAGGGTGATATCGTAGACAAGTGATGGTCAAATGGGTTAATCTTATTTATCCTGACATATTTTAAAATAGAAAATTCATCTGGTTAGAATCATCAAGACTATAAGAACCTACTGAGGATAACTAGGCTGTATTTGATCCGAAATAAAAAAGGAAAGGAAATAAGGATTTAATGCTCTACTTTTCTGCACAGACGTATGCTATTCAGTGTGCTATGAGGAATCCAACTGTCAAGGGTTCTTTTACGGCACGCCAATTTGTACACGCTAACCTCAGTTTTTCATGCAATTCAAATGACTAGGCACTTTTCTTGTCAGTCAGACTACAGAATTTTATGTTTTCAAAAGAATAATAGTAATTTTGAAGGGTAATAATATTACATCATATCAAATGTGAGGTATTAATAATACCATGTCGCCAATGTTAGTACTGATTTTTAACTATGTTAGAAACGACGATTATTATTACCCAGTATCTTACAATATTCAAGGTACTAGATGTGTGATGGTTTCTCTGATTTATTTCTTGCTTTTTTATGTACAAATTTTAATGCAAAGAGGTTGCTATCCTTCTCAAATAAACACCCTTCATTGGATTAAATACATGTACATGTAAAGGATTTTAAAAGTAAAAGATGGATTGATTGAAATATTTGAATTTCTTGGCATGGCAAATTGACTTGAATTAGTCCCGAATCAACTATCAGAAGCTACATGTATATTATGATTAATGTTAATATTTTGTTATTGTATTGCACCAAATTATTTCAGCATTATTATTGAAAAGTTGATTTCTGTATAACATTTGCTTGTTGATAGAAACTAATTTCTATTTGTGTCCGTAGACCAAGTACACATGTTTGATTTTGTGCAAAATTTGAGACAATTCTGAAATTATAGCCGAGATACAAAAGCGTGGGAAATGATTTAATGGTCTAAGTGTCTTCAGTATAAATAATGGTTATACATTATTTATTAGGTTGTGTCTTATCCAAATCTCCTATAATCAGCTGGACGGTGCTGATTTATTTATTAAAGTACATGTTGATATTCAAGGTAACAATTAAACTGAATGTATAGATTTAAGTAATTGTTAGATTTACACTGCACAACTTTTAACTAAATTCTGATTGCTAGATAAAATCATAACTAAGAAGTTCCCATCTGTCGTGTACATGTAACTGTACCTGTAATACACGTCCAACCTCTCATAATAGTTTTGTTGTTCCCAATCTTTCGGATTGTAGTTGTACCTGACAATATGGCAGGCACTATTGAACAGGTACATGTAAATTATACATGACATTTTAACGTTGTACTGAACATGTATTTAAAATACCAGGTATTAATATAATGATTGAATAAAGGCAAATCTGTGCCAGACAGAAGGAAAGGTGCAAGAGAGATTGTGCATGACAGCCTAAATTTGTGCCTAAAATTATCTGTGACAGGTGCTTTATTTCCGGACATACTGGAACACACTGGCTGGACGATTTACCTAATACTATCCAATACTAACCCAAAAATATGGGACACAATACCTCAGTTTCTGACTTAGGTTGAACATTCAAACTTGGTGTAGATGTTTATTATAGGTGTCTTGTCTGAGTTAAATGATGAGCATTTTCTGTTTAGGTAAGCAGTGATAAGCAATTTGATTTTTTTGATGATCTAGGACAAGATAAATTTGATTCTAATTGAAGGAGGTTGGGGAAGGGAAGAATGATATTTAGTGTATAGTACATGTAGATTAAATCAATACCATGACCAAGTTAAAAGTTCAAGTAATTAATGTGTCTTCTACTGGTATTTTCGGATCGAGGTGAAGAACAACAGCCTTACTGTTGGCATTTGAGAATTTATGATTTTACGTTAGATAAATGTTAAGTGTATGATAATTTAAGCTGTAAGTGTGCCCAATTCAGTGGTAATATGCACCTACTCGCACTGCTTTAACTTTTTCTGAAGGTCCAAGCACTAAACGTGACGAAATACGGTATGCACAGTAATGAATTTACATATAATAATTATGTAGCTTAAGAGTTGATGGCTCATCTGAATCCAGCGCATTATACATGTAGCACTGCAAAGAAGCAACATTAACAAGTGATGAGCCAGATATTTCAATTTTGATATATTATATTTTTTGTCCACTTAATTTAAAAATTCAGCTTTATATATTGTAATGAAGAGAAAAGTGGTTTTAAAAGGTTAGAGTTGAGCTAAAACTAGTAAAGCACCGTTATTATAAATTGTTCTCTGTCGCTGATTGTTCTTATGTATTCTGCAGACTTCTAAATTATTAATTGACGTACATGTAGTTTTGCGAGAAGACATAGACTGAGTGTCGTACATTTTCACAATTCTATAATTTACACTAGTGGTTTGTGGATTTTATGCATCACTTTTCTGCCCGTAAAGTACTGATAACAAAACAGATGATCCACATATTGAAAATAGAAATCATATGCTATTTCAAATAGTTAAGCAAATCTGAAAACAAAAAAAACTGTTTGTTATATAGGGAGCAGCAGTGGGTCATTGAATAAGGCTCTAGCTTGCTGACCAAGAGATCCTGGGTTTGATTCTGGTGTTGGCCAAGAAATTTCCTCAGTTGGTTCGATGCTCCTCCAGTGAGGGTGAGGTGGGGAATGTTGTGTTGCGGCATTGAACATGATTTTCAGAATAATTAACTTTAAGTAAGCTAAATATCAAATACTGTAAATAATGTTATAAGTACATGCCATATATTATAAACATAACTACAATTTATAATATTTGTATGGAATGCAATCACTAGTTTATTACACATATAGCACTAAATTCGACACGTGTTCTCTTATTGATGTCAAGCACACAAACAAAAATAAAAAAATTAGAAACTGTTGAGATTTCAAAATCAGCCTTTTCTCTCAATTCTTTGGTTGTTTACAGTACATAACCGTAACAATGTAAGTAAATATGAGCTTGGTACATGTAAAATATGGAACATGAAAATATCTGATTTGATGAATAGGGAGAGAAAAATTCATAATAATTTAGTTATCATATAATATCTGTTTATTCGAAACAAATTAAATGTAGTTTTATGTGTACTTATGTAACTTAGAATGGTGTAACTGCTTTATCGTACCTTTTCCAAACAAGTACATTTTATACAAAAAATCCATTATTGCTTGGACTTTAGAATGAATGATTTAAAGAACTGATAAGATGATATAGTCCAGAGTTACAATCACTGAACGTAGACTGGATACAAATTACTGCTTGATCAGTGAAGAATTTAATTAATAGATTGTCCTGATACACAGACTGTTTGACCTGTGCCATCTTTAACACTGTGTATGTATTTGTACTTTGAATTTATATCACTGAATTTACATGGTGATGTTTATAATGCAGTTCTACTTCAGTTAATGGAAGAAATTTAAAGTTGTGTGTTAGATCTAAGCATAAAGAACTAGAGTGAGATTAATCTAACCACCAAGAGGTCCACAAAATTAGTGGAGTATCGGTTATTATTTATTAGATCACTGTGATATCTGGTCACTCTGCAACAAATTAGACCAAGACAGCTACTGCTTTTAGTGGCCTAACTGACAAGAAATCTTTCTATCTTATGGTTCTAATTGTCAGTGTTTACCTGTTAACTTGATCCCTATATTAGAAACAATACATTGGAGAGAGCAAACATGCCTTTTCAAAGCGAATAAAAGAAGACTTTGCAGATCATATTAAACATGAGCTGCCGAGAAGCCCTGAATTCAAAAATGAGGAGACTATGCATTATAAGTATTTTTATAATGGCAAGTCTTGACGCATATGCATAAGAAATGACTCTGGTCAACGAAATTTATGAGAGGAATCTTGATATGGCTACTTGCCACTATCTAGATTTCAAATACCTTTTTAAAGAATCAAGTTAAATAATAATCCATTTAAAAAAGACTACTTCACATTTTTAAGGATCACCGGATACTTGGGGTAAGAATAGTCAAAAGACTATATTTGTGTGCCTAAAATGGTGAAATCGGGATGTATTTAAGATGATGATACATGTATCGTCTGGTATTCACCAGCACTACTTTGTTGCTATTTTACTGTATCTTACAATTCCAATAGTATAGGTTAGAAATAGGTTTGTGAAATACAATTAGATGGTTGAAGCCATTGTAAATTTGAAATGACCATAGTTTAAGATGCAATTGATCGATTTGAAAAGTTTTGAACCAAAAATTTTTTTTTTTAATGAAAGTACTTCAGATTGTCTAAACTGCAACATTTTCTTTTTTCATTTCAGGCCCAAAGTGATGATGATGATGATCATGAGGTTGCTGTCAATGTGGACAGCGGAGGATTTATGGATGAGTTCTTCGAACAGGTAAACATAATCATTGTTGCTGAGACCGCATTATTTCTGGAATACAACTTATATTATATTTGTACATTGTAGCTCCACGAAGGTTCCAGAGCATGGTATTTACCAAAGATGCTTTTGGCAATCAAGGATTCTATCTAGCACAAGTGACTAATAATACTGTGTGTTTTAGTGTGCACGCTTAAAAGATGATATTTTATTATTTAAGGTTGAAGAAATTCGTGAGATGATAGATAAGATAGCTTATAATGTGGACGAAGTTAAGAAAAAACATAGTGCTATACTCTCAGCCCCTAATAATGATGATAGTAAGTCTGCAAAACTTTATTTTACATGTTGAAAACTTTATTGATGGTTGGTTCACACCAAATTTTCGAAGAACAATGCCCTTGTTTAGGGCTAAGGCTGAAGATATCTTATTTCAAGTGTTGGTTCTCTTGTACTGGAAATTGTGCCCGACTTTAATTAAATTAATCGAGGAAAATGAAATAATATTGATCAGCAATTTAAAGATGCTTTATGTCAATTCTTAATCTTCCTATTGTAGGTCTTTTTCCCTAGCTTCAAATGTTATATAAATAATTACTGAGACATTCATTCACACAACAAGCCCACAACCAACTCTCTAGACCATCGGATGGCTGAGATATTGAATTGATTAGAGGACTGACAATCCAAACTTTGTTATTATCATGGCAATGGTACTTGTCAATCAGCTATTTCTTGTCAAAAGTTCAAACACTCAACTTAACTCAAAATATAATAATTTGACTGAAATTTTAAATGTGTTCATTTTTCATTATCTGTTTTTGAACTGTTAATCAAGAACGGACACCTCTTTATGTAAATCTTACATAATGCATCTTTAATAAATTCAGGTACATTGTTGCAGCGAAAAAAAATAATGAAGGAACATATATATAATAAAACTTTTGTATTCTGCAAGAACTCCTGTCTCTCTTCAGGTTTTTAAACTAGTGTAAAATGAATAAGAAACAGCTTGTGTCACATTTGTATGACCAGATTCTACTGCATCGTAAAACTCAGAAGATATTTTCCTATTCCTGTATGTAATGCTAGATGTAATAGCTCTCTATATCCATGTATACATAGTGTTAGAAATGTTTTATTTTCTGTACATAGCTCTATTGCTTTAAATGTTTATTTTAGAAATGAAAGAAGAACTTGAGGATTTAATGTCAGAAATCAAAAAGAGTGCAAATAAAGTTCGGGCGAAATTAAAAGGTAAGAGATATTGATTTTTGAAACAAGTAATTAATATAAAACCAAACCACAGTTCTGTGCTGCAATTTTTTGCTGGACTAATTTTGAAATTTGAAATAATGCAGGATATGTAACTTTCCAGGTAATAGTTTGCAAATTTTATATGCATAAAATCCATCTTTCTGATTTGTTTCTTTGAAATGGTTATGGGAGCCAACAAAATTTGGTATCAACTATCAGGCTCAACCCACCACACACAATACACACACCTTTAATTGAAGTAATGCACCCTGAACAAAGAATTGTTAAGACTATTTCAAAATAGAGAAGTTTTAATTTAGTTTTTATGTGGATGTAGATTATGTTGCCCGGACATGTGTTCAAATTTGTTTGTGAACCCTTTAGACGTTAAAAGTTTTTTTCAATTTTGTGAGTAGTTCTCATTTATGGTTTTCCAAAATAGCATGTAATTAAACAGGCATTATGTAAGGGCTGAATCTGCCTATTGCGGGTATTTCTTTATTAATTGAATTATTAATTAGACATAGATTAACATGACAAGACCATAATCAATTTGATGCCTTCGGATGCCTCCAATTTTAAGTAGATTAGAATGGGTCAGCCATTTAAAAATGGAGAAGCGAGGCTAGAACTTGAATGACCAGTATGGTTATATTATGATCAATGCACACATCTTGTCAAAACTACAACCATTGATAACCATTCATTATCTGTTTTTATACACCCATATTGAAATGTGGTCATATGATGTATATTGTTATCGCTTCCATCCGTCCGTCCGGAGTTATGACCCTTGATCACCCTAAAAAAATATCAGATTGGCTTTAAATTTATACACAATGTTTAAGGTCATAAGACAAAGAATCCTATTGATTTTCAACAATTTCTGATAATTCTGATATGACCCTTGAGCACTTAGAAAAATCTTGTGGACGCTCTGGAGGCTAAAGTTAATATTTGATTGACTTTAAATTTATACACAATGTTTAAGGTCATGGCACGAAGAAGCCTATTGATTTTCAATTATTTCTGATAATTACTACCATAATTATGGATCTTGATCACTTTAAAATATCTTGTAGATACTCTAGATGCTAAAGTTAATATCTGATTGACTTTAAATTTATACATAACGTTTAAGGTCATAGCACGAAGGAGCCTATTGATTTTCATTGATTTCTGATAATTACTACCATAATTATGGATCTTGATCACTTTAAAATATCTTGTAGATGCTCTAGACGCTAAAGTCGTTAATATCCGATTGACTTTAAATTTATACACAGTAACTCTGGTCAAGAGACAAAGAAGCCTATTGATTTTCAACAATTTTTCGATACTTACCGCCAGAGTTGTGGCTCTTGATTACTTTGAAAAATCTTGTAGAGGCAAAAGTTAATATCCGATTGATTTTATATATTTACCGGTATACAGTGTTTAAGGTCATGAGATGAAGCCTATAAATTTTCAACGATATCCGATGATTATTGATATAAAATATTTTGTATGCTAAATGTTGAAATAGGGCAGAACTAGGAGCCAAATGAGTTGTTACTCATAATCAGATGTTAGTGTGTTGTAAATGTTTTCATTTCTGACAAAAGAAAAAAAAAATGCGACAACCCTTGTTGACTCCCCTGGAAGACTTGGCTGTTGTGGGCGTATGTTTTGTTGCCTGTTAACCAATCTTTGAAATATTATAGCAAGAACAGCCTGCTCTTTATCTAAATCTTACATAAAGCCCCTTTAATGTACGATTATTGTGGTCTTTTCTCCTAAAGTAAAGTACTATCCATTAACCATTTTAAATTTAGATATAAGTAGTGATTGGTGTTGTGCACTTAGGCAGTTGTGCTTTCTAGAATACCTGAAGCTACTTTTCCTTCATGTAGATAATAAATTTATGTTTATCAAATGCTTTGTACCATTTCTAAAGGTTCTACTGTATAAACTTGCATGTAATCAGTTTGACTTGTTATTCTTTCATTGGGTCAATATTTACAATACACCCTGTGTTAAAGACAATTTATCAATATAATAGAAAATTATGGCATGGTAGTCAGTGATTAATATATTTTCTCTCAATAATATGTTTTCCCTTAGTTAAAGGTATGGTTTATCTAATGTGAAAAAAACCCTACATGACATATTGTCTTTTGATTTTCAGTAAATGATTTGAATTGTTTGAACTATGGATATTGCAATTCGTTTATCTTTAATTTAAGCCTGTGTTGCAAAAAATATTCGCTTAGATGTTTCTGGGAAATCATTGATTTTTTTTGTATTACTATACTATACACAGTCTAATAAATATTTTCCCTAGAATGCATGAAAGAAAATCATTACAAATTTGAAGGGTATAGGGAAATAGGAAAATATCAACGTACCAGTAGTCTTAACTTTTTTTGTAGAAATTGATATCATACTGATAGGAAGAATTATAATAAACGTTTATAGAGAAAATTATGGAAATGATTTAGCCATCAATCAATGCTATGATTGGTGTTTGATATAATTATCCCTATATGGTCTGTCCATCACACTTTTTGGGACACACTAACTCTGCTTCTAATTGAACTAGAATGGTAAAACTTGAAAGCCCTGGCTTACTAAGAATGGAGAACATTTTCTGCTTAGGCTAAGCAGAGAAAGGCAATTTCATTGGTCAAGACTTTGGTAAAAAATTACTGTTTCTAATTGAGTGGAAAAAGTGATGAAAGTTGATTTATAGTTTCATTAAAACACCATGACTAAGTTTAACAAAAAGATAAATGTGCGTGCTAGTAATTTATGAGTGTAATCTTCCAGTGTTTATTATGTAATACTTTCCACAAGTTAGAACCAACCCATTCATTGTAGTGTTTTTATATATGCAAAATCCAACAAGTTCCTTATGGTGGGGAGTGGGGAAGCTGTTTTATTGTCATCTTCAGAGAAAATTTTGAAAAATCGAAGTGTCACTGGTGATTTACGGGGCATATCTGGTCCTAGAGATAACATTCAATTGAAAACGCCTATTAACTCAACTGAAGCAAAAAAACCCCTCAAATTTGCATGTTTATTGAAAGACAATAAGTGAATTTTTTATACTGTTATTTAAGGGCATTGGCCCTCAAGCAAGCACCTGAATCAGCCACTGCTATGCACCAGAAGTATTGATGATAGAGATTGGTGTTAGAGATTTAGATCCTATAGAAATGCATAATATATTGTGTTATATCTGTTCTTATTGATCAATGATGACCTTGATAATTATAACAATAAAACCATATTGATTACACATATAATACAGGATTTAAAAGTAAAAATATTTTCCTTATTCAATTATTTATTGTTTTTACCTTGAGCAGTCAATTAATGTGGAAGATATTTCATTTTGATTTTCAATGAGAATTAGGATACATGGTTATTAATACTGGTTTGATTACCAGTCAGGCAAAAGGATGTTATCTTTAAAATTCCCCTTATATTATGTATAATATTTCATAATATCCATATCATTTTTCTAAGCATTTCACAATACAAGCTTTTGTCATATTTTATTAGCTAGTTTAAAGGAGCTAAATCTCTAATATTTGGGACCTAGATTTTTACACAAATGGGTCGCAACCTTTATTATAATAATGCAATATGAATGTATATAAACTGATTTAAATTCAATCGTTTCTGTTTTTATATAACTTCTAATCAGTTATGTTCGGAGAAATACGCCAGCAGTCTCAATGAAATGGTAATCTCTAGCAACTGGTTATTCCAGTCTACACCGATAGTATTTAATTGGCATGCTCTCCAGATAAGAATACAGCGTTACTGTTTGACATGATTTGTGGAATATGTCTAGCCTCCTTCGAGTACCTATTTACAAATAGCGCTGAAATGCATTATGGTACTCGATTCGTGTACCAATGGTAAAATGTTTATTTTGTCTTAAATATTGGAAATGAAATTAAATGAAATGAAATGGGGTTTAACGTCCTACTGTTCTGCTCCTATGCTGGGCTAATGAAGACGGGCATATGCCATACAGTGTGCTATGAGGGAAATTTGGCCCGGGCAGCGGCACTATCGCCTACTCTTTTATCGAATTTCAACTGCCAAGGGATCTTTTACGTGCATTCCAATGTATACACGGGACCTCGGTTTTTCGTCTCATCTGAAGGACTAGACAGCTGTCCTTGTCAGGCCCTCCGTCCTGCATCACTGACACGGGGGAACCACGCCGGAAAATCTGGATGAACTTTCTCGGCCAATGCAGGGATCAAACACCCGACCTCCAGGCTAGCGAGCCAGCGTCTTACCCACTTAGCCACATGATCCCCGCTTAAATATTGGATATCAGATGCCCATCTTTTCCCGATAAGATCACAACATCAATGATATTGAGTTAGAGACTTGGCTACATATACTTTAAGTTATATGTAGCTGCTTTAACCAAATTTGTCAATATTCAGTAACAGTCTTTCCATTTACTATATTAATATACATCAATTATGCTTGAATGACAATTTTAATTTAAAGATACTTTCCTGCATACAGATTTTTGTGTGATTTGATGATATGTTTGGACTAAAATATATTCAAACTAATTAATCTATCAAAAATTTGATTCAAGTCCCTCTCAAAACTTTGTGTTCGTGGGGAGATACTACCACAATCTATAAATAAAGTGTTGTAAGATGCCATGTCTGTCAGCTCAATTCATTGTGGGAGAGCCCACTTTTCAGAATGTATTTTTCATTACTTACTGTCCATTTATCATACATATTGTGGCCTAAGTAAATTCTTAATTATTTCTTTTCCGCCATTTAATTGCAGAGTCTTTTGTATGTTAACACCCCTCAATGTTCCCAAAACCGCCTAACCATTTGATCAAGAAATAACAACTACTGCTCCCTCAGTCAAGCTAGGTCACAATAGCTGCCAGTTAGTGATACCTTGACATTTTTGCCCAGTGCTTGCCCCATGGGTATTTTTCGGGCAATCCAGTATTTTTCTAGTAA